CCAGCTTCTCGGCAGACCAACGATCGCCCATCAGCGCCGCACAACGGCGGACAGACGCAGAAACACCGCACGAGGCAGTGCGCAACCAGAACTCACGCAGTAAGCTGCGCCTCTCACCGACTCGGACCCATGGCAAGCAGGTGTGCCCAAAGAGGGGGTTCGCTCGCTTGTGAGCGGCGGGGAGGAGGGAGGAGGAGGAGGAGGAGGAGGAGGAGGAGGAGATGGAGGAGGGCGCGGAGGAGGGGGGAAAATGGGTGCGCAGGCGGAGGGAGAGGATGAGGACGAGGAGAGGGGCGGGGCTGAGGAGGAGGAGGAAGCGGAGGAGGAGGTGGACCAGTGCAAAATCAAGACTTATCAACAATACTGCAATAAATCATCCCTCCAAATTCCCTGTTCATAGCCCCTCCCCTACACGGATTATTGTCACTAACGGAAGTACCCTGTTGGAAAAACAACGGGTTGAAAATCCAGAATTGTGCCAGAACGCCATTCCTGGGACATCAACGCGGCGAGTCACCGTTACTATCGCCTCTTGGCGATCCTGAACCCCGCCAGAACACCATTCCTGGGACTTCAGCACCGCGCATCAACGTGACTGTTGCGCCCGGGAATTCCGGCACCATGCCAAAACATGATCTCTGGGACGTTAACCATCAAAATCTGTGAAACCATGGCAAACTCTTAAAGCGAATGTGAACGGCGCTCAGGCGAGAGCCACTCTTTGACAAGGGACCGTCCTCCATCCGTGAAGCTTTTGCTATTTCTTCTAACGGAAGTACACGTCGCCAAAGCGAGGGCCACACTTTGAAAACGGGCCGCCCTTCATCGGTCAATATCTTGATACTGTTGTTAAGCGAATACGCACGGCGATAAGGTAAGAGCTTGAAAAAGGGACGCCCTGCACCCGTGAAGTTCTTGCTTGTTTCCAACGAATGTGCGCGGCGCTGAGGCGAGAACTACTTTTTGAAAAGGAATCGCCATCCATGCGCGAAGCTTTTACAATTTGTTCAAGTGAGCTCTGCGCGGCACCAAAGCGAGAGCCACGTTCTGAAAACAGGCAGCCGTCCACCCGTAAAGCTCTTTGAACTTGTTCACATAAATGTGCGCGACGCTAGGGGCGAGAACCACATTTTGAAAACGGCCCGACCTCAATCCGCTACACATTCTAAGCTTCACGAGCGGAGAGGAAGTGTCCAGGGAAACGCCGGGCCCACCCTTTCGACCAGCCTCGGGGTGCGACGGGGAAGAGTTATCGATAAAAAGAAGGGATGGAGGACGTGGATGACGAGCATGCGAAGGGGAAGGGCAGCAAAAAAGGTGAGGAACAGGGGGGGAGCGAGGATCAACAGGTTAATCAGGCGAAGGAGGAGGAGGAGGAGGACCAGTGTAAACCCAAGACTCATCAACCATGTTGGAATTCACCCTCCTTCCAAACTCCCTCGTCATAGGCCCCTACAGGGGTTCAGCTGAAAGAATTGCCCCGTTGGGGGACAGCCGTGCGAAAATCCCGAAGCGTGCCATAACAACATGTTCAGAAATTCAACGCCACTGGTTTGCCTGTGTGTGAAGTCTTCGCGATTCTGAACAACACGGCGTATCACCATAACTGTTGCGCCCTGACAGTCATGAGCAGGTCCAAGACACCATTTCTGGTACGCAATCCATGAGAATCAATGAGACTCTTGCAGAATTCTAATATGAATGTGCGCGGCGACAAAGCGAATGCCACATTTTGAAAGGGACCGACCTCAATCCATAAAGCTCTTGCAAACTTCTACGACAAATGCTGCCAGCGCTAAGACGAGCGCCAAACTTTGAAAAGGAACAGCCCTCATTCCGCAAAACTCTTGCGAATTTTTTAACGAATGTGCGCGGCGCTGAAGCGAGAATCTCATTTTGAAAAAACAACGCCCTCCATCCGTGAAGCTCTTGCGAGCTTCTGAGACCAATGCACGCGGCGCTGAAGCGAGAGCCACAGGTTGAAAACGGACCGCCCTCACGTCGTGAAACGCTTGCAAGCTTTTAAGACGAATGTCCGCGAGGCGAAGGCGAGCGCCAAATGTTGAAAACCACCCGCCCCACATTCGTGAAACCCTTGCAACTTTTGAAAGGAGTGTGCGCAGCGCTGGAGCGAGAACCACATCTTGAAAACCACCTGTCCTCCATCCGTGAAGCTCTTGCACACTTCTAAGACGAATGTGTGTAGGACTAAGGCAAGAGCCACATTTTGAAACCAACCGGCGTCGCTCCGTGAGAAACTTGCAACCTTTGACGGCGCATGTGCGCGATGCTAACGCGAGAACCACATTTTGAAAACGACCCGCCCCTCCGTTTCTGAAACTCTTGTCTGTCAATTGTTTAGCGTCATGGTCGTAAATGGTAAGGAAGCCTCAAGAGAAAAGCCCAGCCCGCCCATTCGACCAGCCTCGGGGCGCGACAGGGAGGAACTATCTATAAGAAATGAAGACTGGAGGAGCGCGTGATGGTCAGGAAGACACTGACGACACATGATAGAGCAGAGGGAAGGGGAGGAGGCAAGAGGCACCACGGAGAAAGGAGGATGAACGAGGGACTCGGCGGAGGAAGGTGAAGGGACGGGGGAGGGAGAGGAGAAAGAGGACTGGGGGAGAGAGGAGGAGGGAGGCCAGAGGGTGGGGGGGAAAGGTGGAGGGCGGAGGGAGGAGTGGGCAGGGTGGGCAGGGCGTGGTGGGTTAGGGCAGGGAGGAGGCACGAGGCAAGAGCGAAAAGAGGAGTGAGGGAGGACCGAGGGAGCAAGAAGGAACACCGCTCGACACGAGGCCAGCATGCTCCCTTCTGGCGAGCCCGACCTACTGCCGGCAGGCACCACCAAGAGAACCGCCGCTGGCACGCGGCTTTGGGCCTGGTGAGAACAAGCCCTCCTCGTCCTCCGATCGCTCGGCCGCCCCTCCGCCACGCTTCCCGGCACGCCCGTACACGATGCCGATGTGATGTTGTGTCAGGAGCCCCGCTGCAACGGAGCACCATCGCCAGGTTGTTGTTGATGATGATGGTGCTGATGATGATAATGATAATGATAATGATAATGATAATGATGATGATGATGATGATGATGATGATGATGATGATGATGATGATGATGATGCTGATGATGATGATGATGGCGATTGCGAGGGTGATGACGATGCTGATGCTGCTGCTGATGGTGATGCTGATGATGCTGCTGATGATGGTGATCATGAAAATGATGGTGGTGTTGATGATGATGGTGCTGTTTATTATTATGATGATGAAGATGATGAAGATGATGATGATGATGATGATGATTATGATGATGATGATGATGATCATGGTGATGGCGATGATGACGACGAAGACGAAGACGCCAACGATGAGAACGATAGTGATGGTAGTGATGATTGATGATGCTGACTCTGACGATGGAGATGATGATGATGTTAATAATCATGGCGGTGCTAACAGCAATACGAACAATGATGAGGTGACGACGGCGGCGACAACGTTGACGATCGTGATGATGATGATGATGACGACAATGATGATGATGCTGCTGATGATGATGAGGATGACGACGACGACGATACTGATAATGGCGATGGTGGTAATGATAACGAGAACGAGAATGACAATGATGATGACGGTGGTGATGATGGTGATGATGGTGATGATGGTGGTGATGATGATGATGCTGAGGATGACAATGATGGTGGTGATGATGATAGTGGTCCTCATTATGCTCCTCCTCCCCCTCCTCGTAAAAAAAAAAAAAAAAAACGGAATGGCCAGTGGTCACAGGGACGGTGAAACTCTCAACATAACGAATGCAGCGAGCAGCCTGAGACTTCGTCCTCACACGAAGCCCACCCACTGCCGGAGCTGGCATTCCGTCGTGCAGCCTAGCCCCTGACTCGACGACCCAGTCGACGTCACACTCGAGCAAGCCACACAGCCAGCTCGTATCAGAAGGATGCGCGATAAGTATGCAAGGGCCCTGGACGCTCAGTTCGAAGCGTTTCGAGCGGGGCGCGCCAACGAAAGTGGCCAAGGAGGGGCCGAGGAGGCAAGGATGCAAGGGTACCCTTGGGAAGGCTACCCATCCTCACCATGCGGGTTGACTGTACCATCGTTACCGATCGGCCGTCCGGGTCGCTACAGTGGGGGTGGCCACCTTCGGCTCCATATCGCCGCCAGCCATCGGCCGTGCGGCTCCACCGCCGAGAGGGGATTCCCACCGCGGTCGTAAATCTTCGTCCCGCTGAAATATTCCCCCTCCTCCCTCCTCCTCCCTCCTCCTCCCTCCTCCTCCTCCTCCTCCTCCTCCTCCTCCTCCTCCTCCCTCCTCCTCGTCCTCCTCCACCTCTTCGTCCTCCTCCTCCTCCCTCCTCCTCCTCCTCCTCCTCCTCCTTCGCCTCCTCCTCCTCCCCTTCTCCTCCCTCCTCCTCCTCCTCCTCCTCCTCCTCCTCCTCCTCCTCCTCCTCCTCCTCCTCCTCCTCCTCCTCCTCTACTCCTCCTCCTCCTATCCTCCTCTTCCTCTCCTCCTCCTCCTCCTCCTCCTCCTCCTCCCTTCCTCCTCCTCCTCGTCTCCTTCTCCTCCTCCTCCTCCTCCTCCTCCTCCTCCTCCTACCCTCCTCCTCCCTCCCTCCTCCTGTAACTACTCCTTTTCTACTTCCGTCCTGGTGATCTTGGCAGACGGGTGGAATGCTAAGCGGGCCTGGACCCTGTTCGTGTCCCTCCTCCTGCTCCTCCCTCCTCCTCCTCCTCCTCCTCCTCCTCCTCCTCCTCCTCCTCCTCCTCCTCCTCCTCGTCCTCCTCCTGCTCCTCCTTCACCTCTTCTCCTCGTCCTCCTCCGCCTCCTCCTCATCCACCTCCTCCTCCTCCTCCTCCTCCTGCTCCTCCTCCTCATCCTCCTTGTCCTCCTCCTGTTATCTTCCTCCCCTCCCCTCCCCATCTATCCTCCACCTGCAAAAACAAAAGTGGCAATGCCTGATCTGGGGCCTGGGTCAGAGGGGCTCGAAGAGCGACGCGACCATCTGAAGGCGCATGCCTTGCAGCTCCGCGCGCGTCTTCTTCGCCAGCGCGCCCTCCATGATCTGGCGCTTCTGAAGGTGCACATCCAACATCCGCTCCTCCACCGAACGTTCCGCGACAAAGCGCAGGGCCCGGACAGGCCGCTGCTGCCCCAAGCGGTGCACCCTATCGATGGCCTGGTCTTCCACGGACGGGTTCCACCACGGGTCCAAGAGGATCACGTGGTCCGCCGCGGTCAGGTTCAGGCCAGTGCCCGCGGCCCTGAGGCTGCAGAGGAACACCTGGACGTGGCCGTGGTGGGCGAAGTCCTGCAGGGCCTGGACACGCTGCTCGTGCCCCATGGAACCGTCGAGGCGCACCAGGGGCACGCCCGCGCGCTGCAGGTCGGCCTGGGCAAGGTCCAGCAGGCCCGTGAACTGCGAGAAGACCACCGCCTTGTGCGGCCTCTGCAGGTACGCGTCCCGCCTCCCCACGACCTGCTCGGTCAGGAACCGCACCACGGCGCGCACCTTCGCGCCCTTCGCCGCGCCTGCGGCGGCAGGGGCGGCCGACGCGGTCTCCTCCAGCGCGGGGGGCTTCTCCAGGAGCTCCTTCTGCCTCACCGCCTGGCGGCAGAGCGGGCACGGGGCCGCGCCTGGGGACCCCAACAGGTGCCCATGCCGCCACTCCCCAGACCTCTCCTGGGCGCGCGTCCTGACAGGGATCTCGAGGCGAATCCAGCGGTGACGACGAAGGCCTCCCAGGACCCCCCCCCCCCAACAAAAAAAGGGAAAGAGAGGGAAGGGTAGCGGTGTGGGTACCCGTTCCTCCGCTGACCCCCGCTCCCCAGCTGCAGGACCACCTCCTCGATGCAGCGCCGGTGGAAGATGTGGCCGCAGCGCGTCGCCACGTCGCAGCCCGGCAGCAGGCAGACGGCGCAGTCATCCTCCTGGTGACCCTTTTTTATTTCCAGGGTGACGGTCGTTACCCGGGAACGGGCGGGTAATGGTAACGGGCGGCCGCGGCGTGCACCCGCCAGGGTGCGGCCGCGCTACCGGCGCATCAATCGCATGTATACACCACAACATGTAGTGGTGGGGGGATCCAGGCCCCCCCCCCACCAGCACGATCGTTGGCATTACCCAGGGAGGGGGGGCTTGGCCTGGGTAGTGAGCGCTACCCTGGGGAGGAACAGAAAAGAAGCTCACCTGCGCCTCCGCCAGGCCGCGCAGGAGCTCCTCCACCCGCTCGCCGCCCAGCGCCCGGCGGGCCGCGGCGTCGGCTGCGCGCAGGGGGTCGCCGCCGTCGGCCGCGAGCTCGGCGAGTAAGGCCTCTCTGGGCGCGACAACGGGCGGCGCGCCGGGGGGGATAGCGAGAAGGGGCGGGCCACATGCGCGCGGCGACGGGGCGTAGAAAGTCGGGAGCAGGCAGTGAAGCGCGCGCGTCTACGCCTGGCCGAGCACTGCACACAAACACACACACACACACATACACACACACACACACACACACACACACACACACATACGCGCGCCAGCCTTCTGGGGCGGGCCTCTTCGGAAGGCTCGGAAGCTCCCGGGCCTTCCGAGAAGATGTCCACAGAAGCCCTCCCCGAAGCGCAGAGAACACTTCTCGGGAGGCAATGGGGGAGCTTCGGAGAAGACCCGACGCCTCCCGAGGAGGCCTTTTCCTGCTCGCTCCCCCCCCGCGCTCGCCGCCGAGGCAGCAGGAAGCTCCTCGGGAGGGCCAAGGGGGCTGCTGAGCAGGCCCGCCGCCTTGTGAGAAGGCCTCCGGCCTTCGCACTTCCCCCCCTCGCCCGCCGCCGAGGCAGGAGGGTTGTTGGTTGGAGGGGCCGAGGTGCCGAGGGACCGAGGAGCCGAGGGGCCACGATAGGGGGGGACTGGCAGATGGGGGGGGGATGCATCGACCTGGAATCGGCGATACGTCGCCGATTGATCGGCGCGAGGCCTCCGATCGTCCCCGCCTTCGCACTTCCCCCCTCGCCCGCCGCCGAGGCAAGGGGGGTGGGGGCTGGAGGGACCGAGGAGCCGACGGACCGAGGAGCCCAGGGGCCGAGGACGATAGGGGAACAACAAGTGGCATAAACATAAAAACTTGGAGGTCCGCGCGGATTTCTCGGATGGGCGCTGGACCCCCCTTCCCTGGCGCGCGGAGCGCGCCAGGGGCGGCGCCGGAGGCGCCGCCAGGGGCCCCCAGCGCCGATCCGAGAAATCCGCGCGGACCTCCGAGTTTTTATGTTTATGTCTCTGTTTGTTCCCATAGATGAAGGGCAACGATAGGGGGGGACTGGCATACAGTCGGGGCGTTGACCTAAGGAACCCCAAATAAGGAACGAGGCGCCTTTTTCCCATAAGTTCAACTTCGATGCCCCATGGAAAGCGTAAGTAAAACCTGAGGCACAGCGTACAGCAACTAAGGAACACGAAGCCCCTCCCCAACGAAAAGGGTTCCTTCTTCAGCGCCCCGACTGTAGGAGGGGGTGCATCGACCTGGAATCGGCGATACATCGCCGATAGATCGGCGAGAGGCCTCCGATCGTGAATCCGCACCTTCCTGGGCAGGCTGGGGCTATCGGGCCCCTATCGGCGATCAATAGGCGATTGGGGGTCGATGCATCCCCCCCCATGCCTATCCCCCCGATCGTTGCCCCTGAAGAGGAGCCGGGCCCCATCCAGTGTGCGTGGGATCAGGGCGCCAGTCAGCGGCCAGAGCAGGACACAATGGGGGCGATGTCCAGCAGCACACGTTGTCCAAAACCGACCGGTTGCGCCCGCGAGCCCTTCGTCGCTGCAAAAACGGACAACACCGCCGGCGATTCTGACCACAAACTCTTTCAAAATGGGCAGGAAGTGCCGTCGGGATTCGTCCCTGGGGGGACCAAGAAGGTACCAACACCGCTGCTCCCTGGACCTCTCCTGGGGAGCATTCTGACTCGAACTCCAAAAAGAACCCAACCGTGACGACGAGGGACACCCCTCCTCTGAGTCCCGCTTTTTGCCCGCCCCCGCTTCGGCCCCCCAGGGGGCGAAGCCAAGCCTTGACCGGTGGGGGGAGAAGAGACGGCTCGGGAGTTGCCAGAAACGCCCGTGACCCACGGTGCCCGCAGAATTTCCAAGGAGGCCCCCACGGACTCCAGAGCACCGGGACGGCCGCGAGGGCCCCCTCGTGGGCGAAAACACCCTCTCCGTGCCCGCGGCCTCGCGGACACGGGCCCCACGGGCCGCGACCCCGCGGACACGGGGCGCGTTCTGGTCGCGAGGGCTCCGCGCGGAGCGGGCGTCCCGTGCGGCCGCCCGCCCCGCGGGAGGGCGCCCCGGGATCCGAGGCCGCGAGGGCGCGGATGCGGAAATGCTCGGCGCTCGTGGCCCCAGGGGCTTCGGAGTGGATCAAGAGGCTGGGTTTAAGTCGGGCCTGTCCCTCTACAGGGGGGAGATTCAAAAAACAGTCAAAAAAATAGTCTGGGGACTATTTTTTGAATACGTTTGACCATTTGGGAATATTTTTTGGGGTATGTTTTATTTGTTCGTCGCAAAGCCCTCTGTAAGGGGGACACGCCCGACCTCAAGCTGGGGGCACCCCGGGGCAGTGGACACCCCCAGCAGCCCGCGAGCGGCGCGCGGCCTCCGGCAGCAGCGCCGGGGAGCAGCACAGCTGGCGCAGCCGCGTGAGCAGGGCGAGCACCTGGGAGAAGTGCTCGCCGAGCTCGGAGGCGCTCTCCGGGGGCAGCGTCCGGGCGGGGCGGGGCAGGAAGAAGCCGCGTTGCGACGGCGCACCGGCAGACGGTTCGGCAATTCTGGCATATTGCGTGCGGGGTGGCGTGCACGAGCATGCAGACTAACAGTCGCAGAGTGCCTCGGGGAGATCGCTGTCTTCTGTGTACCCAAGGGGGAGATCGCTGCCAGGGGCAACATTAGGGGGAACTTTCTTGTTTATGAATAGGCCGAACCATCAAGGAGGGAAAGTCGTACATCGTGACGGCCGAAGAGCAAGCCCGAAGCGCGCAGTCTGCCTTTATCGAATGGACGCCGGCTCGAAACTGGTCGTGCCTCAGCACGAGCAGTTCAGGCTCGGGCAAAAACGAAGATGCCGAGCAGGTATCGCAGCTCAAGCAACTCTGGGCAACGTTAGGGGGGAGCTGCTGAAATGGCAACACACGCTAAAACCTGTAGGGAGGAGGAGGAGGACTGGGGAAGTGCGAGGAAAAGAAAAAGAGTTAGGTATGGGTGCGGGTTGTTGGACCCCGAGGGGGACTCCCGTTCGAGCGGGGGCCCCCAGCCGTCAACACAATCCCATTGCCCCCCCACGGAATTCGGCCCCCAGAAATGCAGGGCTGAAATGGGTATGAAAGCTAGCTGTCAGCTCACGCGGGAAAGGTTCAGAGGGGATGCGTCGACCCCCAATCGCCCACTCATCGCCGATAGAGGCCCGACAGCCCACCCCGCACAGGAGCGTGCGGCTTCGCTGTCGGGGGCCTCTTGCCGCTCTGTCGGCGATGCATCGCCGACTCGGTCGTCTCGGATGCTCCCTCCCTGGAGCCAGTCTCCTCTGGTGATCCTCGCCGTCTGCTGCTCGGGTTAGGTCGGGCGTGTACCCCTGCAGGCGGATTTTAGACGAAAAATGGAAAAAACTGCCAGACAAATCCTCAAAAGTAAACAGAAATAGTGAGAGAAAAAAAAACGAATAAAAACATAGAAACGCCCCCAGAGTATTTCCTGACTGTTTCTGAACACTCCTCCCGTACAGGGACGTGCCCGACTTCGTGCTTGGGGGTTACAGCTCCGGCCTCTGGCGGCCGTGCCAGACGACCTTTGGGCACTCTCGAGGCGCTCCCTGCGAGGCGCAGCGGTGGGAAGGCCCCCCGGTGGTGCTGCAGCCTCGGGGTTGCCTGGCCCGTCCCGTCGCCGGCCCTGCCCGCGCCGCATCCGTGTCGAATCCAGGTCGGCCTTGGCGGATCCGCGTCGAATCCGAGCCGAATCCGCGTCGAATCCACGCCACGCCGAATCCGCGTCGAGTCCGCATCGAGCCCGCGTCTGTCGGGCACAAGGAAAGACACCGGTTTGGGGGACAGGCGAGGTCCCCCGAAGATGCAACGTAACCCCGAGGCTGGAAAACCGCCGAGAACCGACGGGAACGGCCGAAAACCTCTAACCTCGAGCCAGACCCCCCCCCCTTGAGCAGGGAATCGACCGCCCAGACATTCCTACGGGCCTACCACGACGTGTCCTTGGAACCAGCGAATATTTGAAGAACAAGAACAGTGCACATACAGTCAACCCGCACAGTAAGAATGAGCGACTTTCCAAGGCCACGCTTGCATCCTTGTCCCGTCGGCCCATCCTTGGTAACTTTCGCTGGCCAACCTCGCTCGACAAACGTTGACATGGCCCTCCAAGGCCCTGGCATCCTTACCGTGCACCCTTACTATGCGGGTTCACTGTCTAGCACGGAGCCGATGCACAAAAAAGATGGCCTCGGTCAGAAATGCATATATCTCTCAATATGTGTATATATACATATATATATATAGAGAGAGAGAGAGAAACAAAAAAAAAGATTCTCAGACCATATCACATTCGAAGCACAAGTGGGTTCTTGGAACATTCCTTTCGTGGGCCGATGGGGCCAGCCCGGACGCCTCGCCACTGCTCGACCCCCACGCTGCCCCCGAGCTCTGCAGCTGCCGCACGCGGACACCCGCGGCACCGAGGAGGCGGTCGTAGAGCCGGCGGTCCGCGGCGTCGAGCGGGACGCGGGCGACCTCGACGCGCTTCTCGGGGAGCAGGAGCAGGGGCCGCGGCGCCCCCGAGGCGGGGTCCAGGATCCTCATGTCCTGCGCAGGCGCGCGCGCTGCCAGCGCGGCCGGGCGGCCAGGGGAGGGAAAAGACCGCAGAGAGGGGGGGGGCAATCTCCTGGAGGTCCGCGCGGGCTGCCTGGGTCGGCGCCGGGGCCCCCCTCCCTGGCGAGCGGAGCACGCCAGGGGCGGCGCCGGAGGCGCCGCCAGGGGGGTCCAGCGCGGATGCGAGAGATCCGCGCGGACCTCCGAGTCGTGATGTTTTTGTCATTGCTCGTTCCCCGAGTGAGGGCCCCGGGGCCCGAACGAAGTGGGGCGCGAGCTCCCGTCGCGATGTCCTCACGGCTTCCAGACGTCCAGGTGCTGCTGCACGAGGCGGCAGCGCCTCCCGGATCGACGCTGCGCCCCTCCCTCCCTGGCGCGCGGAGCGCGCCAGGGGCGCCGCCAGAGGGTCCCAGCGCCGATCCAAGAAATCCGCGCGGACCTCCGAGCCATTACGCGTGAGCCCGTTTCTGTTCTTCGAGCCACTGCGGGTACCACCCGACGCTGTGCATGCAGAGGTCGGCGTGCCTCAAGCCCCTGGGCTTTGATCGCCGGACGCCTCAAGACAGACTGGCGCGCCAGGAGGGATACTCGCTCGTCTGAGCTTCGGAAGCCTAGGCTGTCTGCTTTGCCGAACGTGTGGGTGCCCCCTGGGATCGAGAGGGGTGCCTGATGGCTCCGAGAGGGCACAAGGGGCGCAGGCGCCCCAGAGGAGGGATCGTGGCCACGAATTCAAGTGGATTCGAGGTCTGTGGGCGTGCACGCGTTGTCTTACTCGTGTGCGTTCGGACCCTCCGCAGCCTGCTGCGGACTGTCTTGGTTTCAACCCTGCGCTGTGCGCTCTTGTGCAGGAGCCTCAGGGGCATAAAATTCACCTGTCGGGTACCCCTGATGGGGTCACCCTCTTCTGCTGCATGGACTGTGGCAGTGTCTCTGAGGGGGTCATGCTTGGTGGGTTGGCGAGAGCCTGCAAGGGCGCCTGTCCTCCTCCAACCACACGCGTAGCAACCTCTCTCGGCTTAGAAGAGGCATCCATCGCAAGTATAGGGATGTGCCGCTTGACGAGCTAGTGCCTCTTGCTGACTTCACCTGTGCTGTGGACGGCAGTGGTTCGGCTTCGACTGGTGAGGTGGGGAGTTAGTCGCTGGCGCCCTCCCTCTTGGGGTAGGGCTGTTAGCGATTTCCTCTCTGTCTTGCTGGTCTTAGCCCTTGCGATGCGACGTGTCAAATCAAATCCCCCAAAAGACGCCCAACACGCCCCAAAGGCCCCCCCCCCCCGCGAGGCTCCCAGGGAGCCCTACGAGGCGGCCACGGGGAGGCCAGCACGCTGAAAAGAGCGCCGCCGTGTGGCTTTTTGCTCCAGGCTCGCCCCGGCAGCTCCAGACTGCCCCTGCTTGGCACGGCTGGCCTGCGGCCAGGCCCCGACGGCGCCCCGGCGGGCCGGGAGGCGACCCGGAGGCCCCCCCCAAAAACGGCCCCAAGAGGGCCCAGCGGCTGGGGCCCAAGACTGCCCCACGACGGCCCCAGCCCACTCCGAAGCGGCCCCGCAAGGCCACCCCCCTACGACAGCCCCAGGGCGGCACCCGGCATCGCCACAACCATGCCGCGCCACGACCGCGCCACGCTTCAGCTCACTGCGCAGCTTCCCCAGCTCAGCGGCGGCTGTGCGCGACAAGGCTGTTTTACCAATCATCGGAGCACAGGCAGCTTTGGGGGAACCTAAAAGGTACCGATACCGCTACTTCCAGGACCTCCCCCGGGGTGCATTCTGACCAGGGTTTCGGGGCGAATCCCGCGGTGGCGACAAGGGCCTCCCAGGAGGCCCAAAACATTGGAAAACGAGGGAAGGATAGAGGTACGGTTACCTTTTCCTCCTCCGATGCATGTCCACGCGTGCTGTAGTAAGGTCAGACTGTGAAGCAAGAGCAGCGCGTCCTTGGTTCGCCGCAGGCACCACGTCCTTAGCAAGATCTGCAGCCGCTCCAGGCCCACAGGGTCCTGGAATCGCAGCGGCCGCATGATCACGCGATTGTCGGGATCCACAAACAGGGCAATGACCCTGAGGGGGGGGGCATGAGTTCGATCCGCTGGTGCACCGAACTGTCGCAAACAGACATACACACACACACCACATGCCCCACCTATCGGCCACTATCGGGAGCTGCCGGCGGCTGGGGGGCATCTGTTTTGGGCAGTTCGGAACAAAAGCCGATCGAACTCACACACACCCCGGAGCACACCCCCTCTTTGGGGGATCCCGAGATTGAACCAATCCAGCCGGTCGAACGGCTCCAGCCTCAGGAACCGTGCGAGCGAGTATACATCCTCGATGGAGTTTTGGATGGGCGTTCCAGTGAGGCACCACCGCCGCTCCGCCTGGATGATCTCGAACGCCGCCTTCGCGGTGGCCGTCCGGTGGTTCTTCACCGTGTGCGCCTCGTCGAGCACGGCCCTGTGCCAGGCGACTGCCCCCACGCCGACGCTGCAGTCGCGGGCCTCCGCCCTCAGGGTGTCGTAGGTCGTGAGGACCACGTCGTACCTGGCGAAGCTGTGCGGGTCGCGGTCCCGGCCCGGGCCGTGGTAGACCAGCGCGCGCAGCGACGGGGCGTGCATGCGCACCTGCTCCACCCAGTTGAAGAGCACGGACAGCGGGCAGACGACCAGGTTGCCGCCAGCGCGGCCGCGGGCGGGCGGGTCTGCCAGCAGGAGGGCCAGGACGGTGACCGTCTTCCCCAGCCCCATGTCGTCCGCCAGTATCCCGCCGCGTGGGAGCACGGGAGCCTCGCGGAACGCCGAGTTCGTCGCCAGGTTCCTGTACACGCTGCCTCCCCCAGGAGCCCCCTCCCTCGTCCAGAAGAAAACCTGCGGCAGGGCCGCCGCAGGCGCGCTTCGGCGGGCGCGTCCACAGGGCGTCGCTGCCAGGAGAAGAGAAAGCTGCAAGAGCGCTAAACTCTGGGAGGCCCGCGCGAATCTCCTGGATCGGCGCTGGGCCCTCCCAACCCGGCGCGCGGAGCGCGCTGGGGGGCGGCGCCGACAGGGCGCCGCCAGGGGCGGCGCCAGCGCCGATCCAGGAAATGTCCGGGCGGAGCTCCGAAGGCTTGTGCTTCTGCCGCTCTCTCGTCTGCCGAGCTACGGCCGCCACGGCCGCGGCCGAGGCCTCCCGGAGGGCCTCGTCGACGGTCACGCTCCGCTCCTGCTGCGCCATCCAGTGCAGGGCCTTCCGCTGGTGCGGGTAGAGCTCGGTGCGCAGGGAGGCTGGCGCCGAGGCCTCGGCCATGTCCTCGTAGCGCCCGTCGGCGCTCAGGATCGCCTCCAGCTCGCGCTCCACGACGTCGGCAACGCTCGGGCCTGTCGCCGCCGCTCCCCTCTTCTTGGCGCCGTGGAGCCTCTTCCAGGTGTCGCCGTCGATCTCGCTCACCGGAGTCCCCGAGGCGTCGGGAGACGCGAAGACCTCCACGGAGCCGCGGGCGGCGGCGCAGTAGGTGGATCGCAGCCTGTCGCCCAGCTGCCGCAGCCGCGGGGCGAGAGAGCCCTGGGGATCCAGGCTGTAGACGGCCAGCTGGAGGGGCATCGAGAACACGTTTTTGGAGCCCCTGGGGATGTGTCCCTCGACGCGCAGGGTGGCCCCCTCCCCGCTGCGCTCGAGCTGGTCCATCACAGGCGCCAGCGTGGCGGCCACCTCGCGCGGCACGTGGCCGATCTGCTCGTTCCTGATGTTGAGGACCTGTATCGCGTTCGAGTCGTACGGGTCCCCCGGCTGCCGGCGCAGGACCACGCTCTCCCGATCGCTCACGATGCCGCCGTAGTGCTGCACGCCCACCACCTTGGTGCCCATGCCGAGGAACCACCGCTCCTCCAGGAGAGAGAAAACGCAGCCAACCCGAACGCACTGGCAGAAAACCTGCGCAGGACGAACCGCGCGGACTTCCTGGATCGAAGCTGCGCCCCTGCCTCCCTGGCGCGCGGAGCGCACCGGGGGTGTTGCCAGAGGCGACGCCAGAGGGTCCCAGCGCCGATCCCAGAAATCCGCGCGGACCTCCGAGAGCTCATGCGAATGCTGATGTTTCTTCTCCCACCCTCGAGACCTCCTAGATAGGGGTTCGAGCAGACGAGGTCGGAGGATCGCGCCGCATCGCAGCTGCAACGGCGGCCCATTGCCAATGCATCGGCGATGCATCGGCGACCTCAGCGATGCAGCGGCGACGTCGGCATGGGGAAAAGTGGGCTCCACATCGAGCCGCACCGCCGATGCGTCAGCGATGCGTTGACCTCCGACCCCATCTGCTACAGTAGGACTTGATTGGACAGGGCACGCGAGAGGACACGAGACCATTCCGAGCGCCACGCTGCAACAGGAATGTAGAAGGCATGGGTCGCGAGACAGGGTACCCTTGATCTGGCAGGGTCGACCTACGAATCCAGGCCAACGGCAAGACTCCATCGAGGGAGGCTTGCAGTGGTCGTGCTGCCACAAGGAGAGCCAACATAACAGAAACGAAGGGGCTATCCTGGCCAAGGCGAGCCGCGGCCACCAATAGAGGCTCCCTCCTCCTCCTCCTCCTCCTCCTCCTCCTCCTCCTACTCCTCCTCCTCCTCCTCCTCCTCCTCCTCCTCCTCCTCCTCCTGCTCCTCCTCCTCCTCCTCCTCCTCCTCCTCCTCCTCCACCCCCCTCCTCCTCCTCCTCCTCCTCCCTCCTCCTCCTCCTCCTCCTCCTCCTCCTCCTCCTCCTCCTCCTCCTCCTCCTCCACTCCTCCTCCCTCCTCCTCCTCCTCCCTCCCTCCTCCTCCTCCTCCTGCTCCTCCTCCTCCTCCTCCTCCTCCTCCCCCTCCTCCTCCCTCCTCCCTCCTCCTCCTCCTCCTCCCCTCCTCCTCCTCCTCCTCCTCCTCCCTCCTCCTCCCTCCTCCTCCCCTCCGCGGCTCGAGAGGGAGATCGCCTATAGAGAGGTGGCCCACCCCTTTGCGGGCCGCGGAAATGGCAGGGCCGTTTTCTTCACCGTCTCCAGAAAAATGTCCCTTGAACATGAAAACGGCAAAAAAACGGCAACCGGAAACGGCACAAAAACGGCTCCAAGATTGGAACCGGAGCCGGACCCGGTCAAAAAGCGGCGTCGGAACCGGTAAAACAACGGCGTGGGAACCGGCAACAAAAACGGCAGAACGGAACCGGTAAAAAAACGGCCCTGTCGTTTCCAGGGCCCACTAAGGGCCCACCCCCAGAATAGTTCTTCTCCGCCGAAGCTGCGAAGGGTGCGTCGAGTGCCCCGTCGACCTCCGAGCAGTCGTCGCACTCTACAGGCAGACTCGTCGAAAAAAAAAAGGATCGGGGGCAACTCCATGATGCATGCAGGTAATATCCTTCTCGAACTGCTGCATGGGACGCACAAGGACATGCTGATACTAGACTTCCGCCTTGGAGGCGCGCGTCCGACCCGAACATATACTAGAACCTTCTTGTAACAGATCGTTTCTCGAGCTGTGTGTTCAGAAAACGCCCGCCACGCAGCTTATATCATAAGATTCCTCAGTGCGCGCGTCGCCCCTGGTGGGGTGACGCGCAACATAGTACTTAGAAGAGCACAAAAAAACATGAATAATAACTTTCTTGGATATGCGCTGGACCCCCCCGGCGCGCGGAGCGCGCCAGGGGCAGCGCCAGAGGCGCCGCAATGGGGGGCCCAGCGCGGATCCAAGAAATCCGCGCGGAGCGCAAAAAGTTGATGCTTGTGGCGTTGTTCGGAAGCTGGGCGAAGACTGGCAAATCCGTGGCCGCCAAAACGGTCTTCCCAGAAGAAAGCAACAAATTCCCGGGGTAAAACTCAGCGCACTGAATAAACGGGCTGCTTCCCGCAGAAACAAAAAGATTTCCCAGAGCTCCATTTTGGCAGCCACGGGTTTGCCAGCCTTCGCCTGGTTTCTGAGTTGTTTCTTCTTCGAGTACTTATAATACGCAGGGGTGACTCCGATACTGCAGGTGCTCGTACCGCTGCGTCCTCCTCCTCCTCCAGAGGCCTCCTCGATGGGGTCGGAGCAGATGGGGTCGGGGGATCGCGCCGCATCGGCGATGCAACGGCGACGTCCGCGTGAAGCAAATCGGGCTCCACATCGAGCCGCATCGCCGAGGCGTCGGCGATGCGGCGCGACCCTCCGAACCCATCCACTCGGACCGCACACCTGGGATTGCGCGCCCGGATTATCCCGGGTAACTCGGGCCCGGGGTAACTCGGTTGTGTATTCCCGAAAAACGAACCCGAGTTAGCCCTGACCCGATTTACCCCTGATGACTTGGGACTCTGGACGTCCGAATTGTCCGGGGTAGCTCGGGCCCGGGGAAGCCCGGGCTCGGATTCCCCCAAAAAGGAACCCGAGCTGGCCCTGACCCGAGCTGCCCCTGGATGGCTCGGGGCCTCTGACGGGAGGCCTGGACCTCCGCTCCTCGGCCGCGGGGTCGCTGCCGCCGCCGCCGGCCCCGCGCCCCGCGCCCTCCGCCCGCCCCGCGGCGGCCGGGCCCGCGGGCGCCCGCGGCACGTACGGCGCCAGGGGCACGGCGGGCGCCGCAGGCGCCCCCGCGGCGGGCGCCGGAGGCGCCTCGCGGCCGAGCGGGCGGCCGAAGACGCCGCCGCGGAAGGCGGCCGCCTCCGCTGCCTGGGGTGCGGAGTCCAAAGGGGGGGGGCGGCCTCGGGCGTGATAGGGCCCAGGCGCCCTCGCAGTGTGGCAGAAGTCGCGACGGGAGGTTGTCCGCCGTGTTCGGCCTCCAGGGGCCCTGCCCAGGCCTCGGGGCTGTCAAGGAACGACTCGGGATGAAAAGCTCGTCCCGGGGAAGGGGGGCCTCTGGGTCCAGACCTCTGAAGTAATTGGGCCGCACAGAGACGTACTAGTACTACATATCCTCCTTGGAGGCGCGCGTCCGACCCGAACATCTACATGTATATGTGTGTATATATATGTGTGTGTGTGTCTGTGTGTGTGTGTGTGTCTGTCTGTCTGCCTGTCTGCCTGTCTGTCTGTCTGTCTATCTGTCTGTCTGTCTGTCTGTCTGTCTGTCTGTCTGTCTGTCTGTCTGTCTGTCTGTCTGTCTGTATGTATGTGTATATATATATATGTATGTATGTATGTACGTATGTGAACATGAAACCCATGGATCGTTTCCCGAGCGGTGTGGTCAGAAAGCGCCCGCCACGACGCATATGCCATAAGATGTCTCGGTGCGCGCGTCGCCCGGGGGGCGACGCACAAACGGTTTTCGTATGCTGGGGTGACGCCGGTTAACGGGGGGGCGACCTCGGGCGTTAATCAATGGGGGGGCGAGAAGCTCGCGGTCTCTCGTCCCTTCCCCGTGCATGTTTTTTGGGGGGGCACGGTGCGCTCGTGGGCCCACAAGGTAGGAGCCAGAATAAGTCTGCTCGACGCGGCTCGCCGGAACAAAAACACACATGCACTCGTCTGAGCGATGCCAAGCAAGTGGGGGGCGAGGACACGTGCACTTCTCGTGCCCTTTTTGGGCCCGAGGTGCACGCGCTCCCCCCCATCCATGCGCCGCCCCCCCAGCATCGGTGGCCCTCGGTGGCTCAAGGATGGCATCCTGAGGGATGGGGGCATAAGGACAGGAAGGGGTCCAAGGGTGGATGTATACCTTGTTTGAGGCACCTCGTCCTGAGGACCCCAGCCCTCAGGACCCCATCCTGGAACCACCGACGGCAGGGGGAAACAACTCGTGGACACTCCCCCCGCTCCCCCAAACTCAAAGTTGGCACGCGGGGCACTGCGTTCGAAGTGCAACTCATCAGACCCACCGCCAAGCTTGAGCATTGGGGGGAGGGGAGGGCGTTGACCGATGAATGTGGCATGCGTGTTCGCTATTTTCCCGAGGCCTGGATCATGGGATGGTGATGAGGGGGGGGATGGAAAGCGTGCACCTCTCGTGCCTCTCTTGGGCCCTAGAGGCCCCTTTCAAGAGGAGGAGGGGAGGAGGAGGAGGAAGAGGAGGAGGAGGAGGAGGAGGAGGAGGAGGAGAAGGAGAAGGGGAGGGGGAGGAGGAGGAGGGAGGAAGGAGGAGAAGGAGGAGGAGGAGGAAAAGGAGGACGAGGAGGAGCGCACGTGCCTTGAGGAGGAGGAGGAGGAGGAGGAGGAGGAGGAGGAGGAGGAGGAGGAGGAGGAGGAGGAGGAGGAGGAGGGGGAGAGGGGGGGAGGGGGGGGGAGAAACGTGGCACTCTTCGTGCCCCTTCGTGGGCCCCATTGGGCACCCCTTTAGTGGGCACAGCAGGCGCGCAAGTCTGCGCCCCCCATGCATGGATCGGCCCTGGCCTGGTGCGGTCTAGTGATGCCGATATCTTGCCAAGAATAAGAATCCCTAACCACGTCCGACAAAAAACTATTTTTAGATAAAAAAGCCCCAACATAATACTATGCAGCGTTAACTACATGGACCACGTATCACGCCCCGGCCCTGGCGCGCGAAGCAGCGCGCCAGGGGCGGCGCCGGAGGCGCCGCAATGGGGGGCCCAGCGCGGATCCAAGAAACCCGCGCGGAGCGCCAAAAGCTTCTGTGCATGGCGTCTCTTCTTCTTCTTCCGGAAACGTGCACTTTTCGTGTCCCTTTTGGGCCCAAGGGGCCCCCTCTAGGGCACAAAACAAAATTCACCTGTCTTCGCCCCACATGTTGCACACCCAAATTAGTAGAGGCTTCCTAGATGGGGGCGGAGTAGATGGGGTCGGAGGATCGCGCCACATCGCCGGTACATCGACGATGCATCGGCGATGCATCGGTGATGCACCAGCGATGCATCGGCGACGTCGGCGAGGCATCGGCGCCGTCGGCGTGGAAAAAACTGGGCTCCAC